AAGTAATGGGAGTATCAGGTCCCTTAGTCATTTTTTGATTCACTGTAACTTCTAGGTAAATAGCAGAACAAACTAAGAAACATGTTTTCACCAGGAGTTCATGGCTTTGGTAGTGATCAAAGGATCACTAAAAATATTTGCATTTACTAGAGATCCATGAGAATTGCGTGAACCTAATTTTTACAACAAAAACACAAAATGAAACAAAATTAATCATTCTGTCTCATCCTCCGAATGCATATGTTAAAGGTTTCTACCTTTGACCTATAGGGAATACAATTATGTTTCTGTATTCCTGCTAATGTTTCTTGTCCTTCTTCCTGAAGAATAATTGTCCTGTTATTGCTGTGTACTCAGATTATACCTCTAAGTTAAAATAAGTAATAACTATTTTTATAGAAAGGCCTCTAAAATCAAACTCAATAAGGTGAAACTATCACAGTGTTTTTATAATGTGTCATAAGTATGTAATGAAAAGAGGTGACGAATGAATATTTATTAGAATTCACCTTAGAAATAAAAGGTTACCTATAGGAAAATAAAGGTGCTTAATATTAAAATTTAAAAAACTCTGTTGCTTTAATATAAAACTGACTAGGTGTGATATATTTGTAAATATTCTGATATTAGTATATTAAGCTCTGGTATAATTTATAACTTTCTGATATAACTTAAGATAATATTCACAAGATCAATTTTGTATATTATATAAATATCAAGAATAACATAAGGAAACTGCCCTATCTGGAAGAAAACAACAAAAACCATGTCTACCTATTAAAAATAGATTAAGTACAAATACTGTAAAACTGCTACTTCAGAATTATTGGTAAATTTTTCTGGACATATTTTTTGGATGAAAGACTTCAATTCCTATCACTTATGCTGTTGGATAAATATTTCATGGAGAATATTTTGAAAATACTTTATGAACCTCAACCAAAACTAAGGTGTATGAACAGATGTAGTCAATGTGCACATGTCACCTTACCCTAAGCAGATATTTAGCTTGATCAGTGAAAGCTTCCAGATGATCAGACCTTCTGTTGTCACCACATTAGTTTCCCAATAAAATATCTGAAAGTATAATCTATTTGAAATCAATAATAAGCTGAATCACTAATAAAGGAGCTTTGGTAATTATTTAAAGTCAACGGTGACATAAAATTAAAGTACCTGGAAATATAATTAGCCTAACAAGCGCTTGCTTCCTATGTGTCAAAATAAACTAGTGTTTATTCTCTAACGTACAGTCTTAAAATATCCATTGCATAGATGAAGAAACTGAGGCAAGGTAACTAGTTTGAGCAGCCTTTACAGAAGCAAGAATTGCCTTGAGAAGTACCATTCTTGAGAAACACCTAGACCTTTTAATGAAGGTACTTTTAAAACAGAGTGGGTGAACATATTTATGTCACATAACTTTAAGTATATTCTTCTTTTCTGTGACTCAGATCTCAACTTCTATGTCTTGGAGTGTGGTGTTGGATGTGACAAAAAGGTTAAACAAACCCCTGAAGTAGCTGATTTCTCTGTGACAAAATTCATCCCTCACTACTGTAGGTTGTCTGATCCTAACTAGTAGTATAGTCACTAGGACTCCATGTTTAGCACAGAAACTTTTATGCATTCATCAGTATGTCAAGTATTCCAGTAAATAAGAAGTCTCCTTGACACACCATGCTCCCTTCTTCATCCCTGCTTCGCCTGGGCTGTGGAATCAACAGCATGAAATTTCCACCCCCAGCATCTCTATACAAGCTCCAACACTACTACTAAATACAATATTTTCCTGGTCTCCTTCAGAATTGTTCTGGTAATTTCTTGTTCTATCACTCTAGTATAGTATCTTGAAAAGTTCATAAATATTTTCTCTTAATTATAATAATGCTCATACAATGCAGGCTTTGTTTTCACCAAATACTGTGTGAAACATGCCTAACCTTTAAAGAAAACCTATGAATCAGAGAGTAGTGTGATTCTCATTTTATAGATGAGAAAAAATCTTTAAATAGCATGGAAGGGCACAGAGCCCCTAAAGAGAAAAGCATGCATTCACAGCCCAAACTGTCTCCATAGATCTCGTTCTTGGCCAATGTAAAATATGACCTCGTGCAAATATCTGTTACCTTCAACTATACTGTAAGGTGAGGTTCAAGACTGTGCCTTCTACTTCTTTCTCCTTCTTCCCAGTACCTTATGCTACCTAGCACAGACTTGAACAGTTCTGAAGGAGGGAGGTATAAAACATGTGTTCAAAACAAGCCCTTACAGCAGTACAGAAATGTTCTATTGGCCTTTTTTTGTACCATGCCTTCTTATATCTTCAGTCAACAAGATGTAAAAACCTCTAGAAATGAACACTTTCAAAGAAGCCAATCTGTATGTACAAATTAGTTTAATGGTTAGGGTGGAACGCCGCTATTTAAACACACTAGTTTGTCATTATAGTTTAGTTAATTTTATTCACCTCTCTCAAAATATTGTGGTAAAATAATATTTGATTTCTAGCTCTCTAATAACTATTTTTTTCTACTAAGTGGAAGAATAACTATAAAAGAACTATTACAAGTGAATTCCTTTCTTTGTAGTAAGTACAGGACTAAAACCTGGAACATGCACTCTCATTTCTCTGTGCAGACAAACTGCAACTAACTAAATAAATAAGTAATAAAGCAAACAAGCAAGCAACCTGGCTGTTTTCTTTCCCTGGTCACAATTGTGAAGTCCCACAAAGAAAGAGGAGAGAGGATGATAAGGAGAAAAAGCAGTTCCATGTAAATTAGGACAAAACTAACTTATTCCCTTATAGAGTTCGCAACCTTCATTGTATTTCAAGGGAGAAAGAACACCACCGGACACCACCAACCATCACAAGCAACAACAATATCAACAACACATCTGCAAGTCTGCTGTTAAGTACTGCAACCATTCAAAGATACACAGGCTTGACCACAACTCTGCAGGAGGATATAAGTAACTGATAATTCAACTGAGCTTCTGCCACATGGCAAGAGAATCAGCCAAGCCATTAATGGGCTTGCAATCCTACACAGAGAGTTAAAGGGGGAGAGTTCTATCATTCCTAATATTGCACACTCCCCCATCACTGATGCAGATGATAACTGTGTCAGCACTTCATCAAACCTGCACTCTTTCACTTACGAAGGTGATTCTCTTCATCACAGCTCCTACTTTACATACTCATAAAATGTAAACCTGCATATTACACTACTAGCATATGATAATTAAAGAGAAAAGAACAAAAATCAATAATTTATAGTACTGCTTTTTACTGACTTCAACCGTAAATCTAATTTTTTCTCTGTGTATATGTATGTATATATATTTATATATTCATTAGGAACAAGACTCAGATCTTGTATAGAAATACTAACATCTGGGTTTTAGCACTTTTAGAAGGCTATAAACAGGACAAAATAAAACAATCACTTTTACAGATTTACAGGGTCAGCTCTTTCTCATATAACAAATATACTAAACCAGCATTACTGTCCTGTAATGAATAAACTTTTTAACATCAGTAGTTGCAAAAGGAAGAGCTACCTAATGCTTGCATGTGTGTGTGTAGATAGAAAGAGAGAGAGAGAGAGAGAGAGAGAGAGAGAGAGAGAGAGAGAAAGACATGTAAGCTAAAAATATCAATGCAATATATTGCATTGTCTAGAAATAAGTGAAAATCTAAAAATGTACATTGCTAACAATGATCCCTGGAAGTAATTCAACTTTTTTTTCTGAGTGTAAGCTATGGACAGATAGAAACACACAGCAAATCTGTCTTCAAACATCAAGATTCCTACGAGGTGAAAGGTAAGGAGTCAGGGTATGTGTTAAAGCCTATGAGGCACCTAATTGCTATCAAAATGATATGTTTACAAGCCTGTAGGCTAACCATTCTCAGTGTCCTTTATAAGTTAACCCATGATGAACCAAAGTGTATCACTTCCACCCCTCTGCTTCCTATTTTTCCCAAATCAATTTACCTTGGTGTTTTCTATGGTGAGTCAAACATCTCATAAATAATGCTGTGGTGCACAAGCATTAAAGTTTAGAGAGTTTCTGCCTCTGAAGTAGGTAGTGACAGGACCAAGGACACAGGTTCAATTCTCAGCTAAATATTAGGCGGGTGGTTTAAAAATGTCAATTTAAACAGGCCTAGGTGGGAAAAAAGAAAAGAATGCAAGCTTACACTGCCAACACCCTTCCTCTCCCCTCCCTTCTTTCTCTCTTGTTCTCTTCCTCTCTTCTGTTTCCTTGTGGTTTCTCATGGAGACGACAATCACAGCAGAGAAAGCTGAATTACTGTGACACACGCTGGGAATATGCAATTCCCAGAAAGAAAGGGGGGAAAAAAAAAGAAAAGAAAAGAAAGGAAAAAAAGAAAGAAGCTGCCGGTGAGGGAGGGGGTGCTGGCAACATGTCTAAGTGACAGCCCTCCCCGCCCCCACCCTCTACAGCACCAAGCTATAGATTCCTCCTGCACCCTTTCCTTTCAGTTCCTGGTACTCCGTCCAACTTGACCCTTTATGTTCGTCATCGAGGGACCTGCAGGGCATCCGCTGTGCGAGAGCGTCTCTCTGGGTACACAAGCCCGATTTTCTGGAAGCCCCTGAATCCGGACAGTTGTAGCAGGCTAGGATGCTCTCTCACCCTCCCACCCAGGAAGGGGTAAAGCCAGAGAGGCGGGGATGAAAGGAAAGGGCTGCGAAGCTGAGCTGGCGAAGAGGGTTTGAAAGGAAGGCAGGAAGAAAAGAAAGGGTGGGAAGGAAGTCGGGCTGGGAGAGAGGAAGAAAGGGATGAAAGAAAGGCTGGAAGGGAGAAAGGAGGGGAGAGGAGAGAGGGATGTTGGGAAGGATGCGGGAGGGAGCCTCGGGGAGCGGAGAGGGAGGGGAGGATGGAGAGGATGGGAGAGAGGGAGGGAGGGAGGGAGCGAGGGAGGGAGGCAGGCGAGGCTGGAGGATGCTCTGCCCCGGACTCACCTCGGTGGGTCGGTGGGAGTTTCTCTCCTCCTCTTTCTTGCTGATTTCCAGCCGCTGGAGTGCTAATCGGGGAAGAGACTGAAGAGGCAGCTGGGGGACAAGGGCAGCTGCTGCAGCCGCCTCTGGCCGAGGTGCGGTGCTGCCTGCTCCGCCTGCCCGCCCGCCCGGGTCTCCGCCTCACTCGGGGCTGGATGCGAAGCCGCTCCCCCTCCCCCGCCCGCCCCGCGTCCTGCCCAGGCGCGCGAGCGGCAGCGGGTCTGGATCGCCGCTAGGGGAGGCGCTCAGTGCGCAGGCGCGGCCGCTCGCAGGCCGGCGCGTCCCCGCGGTCCTGCCGGCTGTGTGCTAGGCTAGGGGGGCCAGGCAGGCCGTGGAAGGGGACAGGGGGAGGCGCGCGACCTGCAAGCGCCCAAGGGGGCGGGGGCCGAAGGGGCGGGGCCGGAGAGGCGTGGCCGGCTCCACGCTGCAGGTGGGGGGAAGGGAAGGCAGCGAAGAGGCACCGCCGAAGGGCGCAGGTGCTGTGTCCATGACAACCGCGTTACCCTTCGGGGCGGGGACCAGCATATGCATCTCTGGATGCAGCCAGGGCCTGATGGGAGGGTCTGGCTTCCAGAATGGTCTGCTGGTGGCACCAGGATGGAGGCATCGCAGAGGATTATGAAAAGCAGGGTCAGGCCCTCAGAGCAGGGCAGGAGGGGCGCTGGCCACAAAGCTGCGATGGTAGTGACTGACAGGAGAGGAAGATCTGTTGGGACCTGGAGCTCCCCCAACGGGAAGGAGACTGGACTTTAAAAGAATCTGGAAGAAGATGAAAGTGTTCAGAATGAATGGAATATTTGCCTCTTGAACAAGCAAGCCTTTGTTGGATGCTGTCTCTGGAGGAAGGCATTGTGATTCTCTTATCTGGACCAGGCGTTCAGGCAATTTCAGATATCCAAAATGTTCAAGAACCGAGTTTGTCCTCTCCGAGGCTAGCTTTTAGCCAGAGAACTTAAGAGTCAGGGCATGGGCCTTGCCAGACATAAACAATCGGGGCTTAAGAAGGATAGAATCAACAGAGGTGCTCAGGCCGAGAACTGATACAAAGCAATACAAATACAAACACATGCATCTTTGTTCTGCCATGGTGTCAAATGATCATTTTTGCTTCGTTTTCAATCAGAAATCAAAATTAAGTTGAAACAAACCCATCGACGTTAGGAATGGCAGTGGGACGTGAGTTCGCAACACACTGTCTGATGTCCTCCCCACAAAAGCATAAATGCTTTGGTTTCTGCTCATATGTAGACAGCTTTCTCTCACTTGCACATATTTTAATGCTTTTTTCTCCATTGGCTATGTAGCTTTTTTGTATCGCAAGTTGACATCCACAGTTGTTGGAAAACTATGTCATATCATTTCCAAAACAAATCAGAAATTATCTTCTCTTCAGGTTATGAATTGAGAGCCTTTCCTATTTTCTATATCTTTCAATATCCCATATCCATATCCTTTTCAATACTATTCATTTTTTTTTCCTTTTTCACCACAAGTTTCAAATTTTCTGGGGGAATAATAGGCACTATCTACCAAATGTAAGCCTTAGAAAAATGTCCTTGTTCCACAAAGATGATTCAGTACCACGGACAGTGACATTGTGCTGATCTTCCCATCAAACATTTAACTTAGATGCAGCCTATAGAAACTGGTCTCAAAAAAAGTTACAGTCCATTTTCTACTGCGGAGCATCTGGGTTGGTTCCATACCTTAGCTATCGTAAATAATGCTGTGATAAATATAGTTGTGTTGGTAGCTTTAGTATAGCCTTTTTGTGATCGTTTGGGTAAATGCCCAAAAGTAGGATTGCTGGATGATTTGGGAGCTCTAAGTGGAGTCTTTTGAGGAACCTCCATACTGCTTTACAAATTGATTGAACAAGTTTGGATCAAGAAAATGTGATATAGATATACAATGGAATTCTATGTCTCCATCAGAAAGAATGACATTGCCCCATTTGCTTGGAAATGGAAAGACTTGGAAAAAATTATATTAAGTAAGCCAGGCCCAAATAAACATAGGTCCCATGGTTTCCCTTATTTGCAATAACTAGTTTAAGTCGAGGACAAGCAGACAAAGTCAAAAGCTATGTACATATGACCATATAACATGATGTTAAGTGAAATGAACCCCAAAATAGGGACACAATTGTTTTTTTTATTTTCTTGCTATTTCTTTTAATGTATTTAAAATATGCTGTGTGATTTTTTTGTTTCTCTTGTATCTTCTTCCCCCATGGTATAACCCCTGTTTTCACTGTATTTGACATCAATGCCCTGCATCTTGTATATACATTTTTTTAAAATTTGGGGTTGGGAAGGGAAATAATGAAATGCTGTAACAATGATACAGGATGACCCATTGTAACAATGAGATGTACAAGACACTGTGTAGAAAACGAAATTTACAACTTTGGGGGCAGGGGGGAGTTGGGAAAGTGGGGAGGGGAGGGGTGGTAGGGGAAAAACAAAGGAGGATGTAACAATGCTCCCATAGGAAATGTGCTAATTATTCATGTAACTGTAACCCCTCTGTACACTATTTTTACAATATAAAACATAAAGTTACAGTCCTTGCTTAAAAATAAATAAATGCAGAGAGCCAAACATTTGTGTCAAAGATAGGATCAGAGTTGCAAAAGGAAATATCTCATGGAAATAGGAAGTAGGCCTTTAGCTAGATATAAAGAAAGCATTGGTAAGATTTAGCTAGGCATTGCAAAAAACCTAAAGTGGATAAATGGGGATAGTTTAGCCTTAAAAGTGCTTCTGTAAAAAGAGACTTCATATAGAGACTACAGAACACACTCCTGGAAGCAGAGGACATCATTAAATGTTCCAGGATTGTAGAAAGGGCAGAGTAGACCGAGCAAAATGAAGTAAATCACTCAAAGCACTGACATCTTTTTGTTGTTATTACTGTGATTTTTCATTCCATAGTCTTATTGGAATGGATGAACTGAAAAATAAATGCCAAGGTGTAATCAGAAAAGTCCATGTCTTTTAATTTAAGATAAAGAGGTGACACTGATCAAGAAACATTGTAAACAAAATAATATGTTGAATTAAAACATCATTGTTCAACTAAAGAATTTTTTAAAAGTTAAAATGGTTAATGTATAGCTTTTAAAATTATGTTAATCATGCCTACACTTATTAAGTTTTAATTGAGTATTGTTGAATTAACAGTATTGTGTTAAAATGGTGAATGGACTGTATGTAATTTTGCTACAATTTAAATTGCAGTAGTACAACATTTAGATTTTTAGTAAAGATTGTTCAAACTAATACTAACATTCTAAGATAATATTTTCCCCCCAAAAATGTATTAATTAAAAAAAATTCCCTAGAATTTATACCTGTAAATGTCAGGTTTGTATATTTTGAGTCCCTCGTTCAGTTTGGAAAGTTGAGAAATTTCTCTGTGAAGTTCTCTTGAGCAATCTCACTGTTCAATAGAAAAGTTTTAAGCTCACAACAAAACTGAGTGTAAAAGAATGTATAATTTATCCCTCCAACTCTAAAATCTCTCCCACTATCAAATGCTTCCAGGGAAATATTGTATTTGTCACAATAGAAGAACCTATATTCATATATTATCATCACCAAAACCCATAGTTTAGAGTTCCTTCCTATTTGGCTGTTTGCAGATTTTTGGAAATATTGTAACATGTATCCACCACTGCAGTAACACACAGAATTCTCTTCTAGTCATCAATTTCTCTAGTAACCCCTAGCTATGGTTTGTCTTTATACTGGTTTTTTTGCCTTACCAAAATGTCATGTAGTTGGAACCCTGCAATATGTTTCTTTTACAGGTTTTTCTTTCATGTATAAATATGCACACAGCCAGACACCCTATATCCTAGCTACTTGGGGGAATTGATATGACAATTCTTGGTTTGGAAACCATGGGAGCTATGTTTCTTTGAGCCTGTCTTACTTCACCTAATAGGATTTTTTCCAAGCCTTTCCATTTCCTAACAAATGGGGTGGTGTCATTCTTTCTGATGGAGGCATCGAATTCCATTATGTATATATAGACCACATTTTCTTGGTCCATTCATCTACTTAGGGGCATCTGGGTTGGTACCATATCTTAGCTATGGAGAATAATGATGATAAACATAGTTGTGCTGGTAGCTTTAGTCTGGCCTTATTTGTAATCATTTGGGTAAATGCCCAAAAGTGAGATTGCTGGGTCATAGAGATCTATGTGGAGTCTTTTGAGGAATCTCCATACTGCTTTCCAAAGTGGTTGTACAAGTTTACACTCCCACCAACAATCCTAATCTTCAATAAGGGAGCTTAAGAAACATAATGGAAGAAATGCTTCATTCTTTTTATGTACTACTTAAACTATTAAAATTTAAATGTTCTTGGTATAAAATTCTTGTTTTCAACCTAGAATTTCTGCCACAGGTCTAGCAATCCTATTTTTTTGTCAAGCAAAATTATTAGTTATCTTGGTAATTCTTTGTGGAGTGTAGAATATGCTTATAAGTGTGTATAATGCTTATAAGCAATTATAATGGGTATTTTATGTTAGTAAGTAGAATATATGGCTTTTTTCCCACATTGAAACACTTTACCTACATTATTATGTAAGTAGAATGTGTTTGTTAGGCAAAATAGTGGATTCATAAAGATTTTCACATGCCAATCCTCTAAACCTGTGTGTTTGTTGCTACATGTCAAAGGGAATTTTACAGATCTGATTAAGACTACAGAATTTGAGAGAATGAGATCATACTGGATTATCAACATAAGATCAGTGAAATCCTCCTATGTGCTCCTAAAACTAGAGAACCATTCTCTGGTGAGAGTCAGAGAGATTCAAAATGTGACAGCACTTGACTGACAAGCCAGGGAGGAGGGCAGCCTGTAGACACTGACAATACGGTCTAAGAAGCAACAGAAAGGAAACAGGAGAAATCCTTCCTTATCTCCATATACAAATGAATTCTACTGCCAACCTCAAAGAATCTGAAAATAAATTGTTCACATCTATGAAAAAAAAAAAAACGTAGTCCTAAGAACACCTTAAAATGACCCTCAAGAGACTCTAAGCAGAGAAATTAGGCTATCCCAGTAGACTTCTTAAGAGATTTGTGAGGCAATGAATCTGGGCTGCTTTAAGCACCAAATACATGGTAATTTGTTACAGCAGCAAAAAAGAAAAAAAAAGCTGATTCATAGCTAGTCTTTGTCAATTACTTTATC